TCATCTGTAGCAGGTGAGTATGATTAGTGCTGCCAACCAATCAGGGAGAAAAAAAAAACAGCAGCAGCAGCAGCTGAAATGCCTCAAATATTTTTTTGCTTTTTGTTTGTGAAACAAGGTCAGAAGGAAGCTGGTTTGGTAGATTGGACCCGGTGTTACACCATACCCTGTGACCTGCAACAGTGCAACACCGCCCCCTACTGTCACAAAATATGGTGTAACACCGGTTCGCAACACGCTCCAAACAGTCAGGAAGTTGTTTCATTTTCTGTTTCCTTACAGTAGATGAACCAGAAGATTCATCTTTAGTGACATATTTCCAGACTATTGATGTATTTCTACCTGTTTGTCAAGAATGGCCCTGCTCTGCTCCATCCGTCTGCTTGGAGGAATCCATTTTGTAACCTGCGCCGGTGCGGATCACGTGACATGTGACGCAATGACGTAACGGCGGCGTAATGACGTCACCACGAATACTCGACGTGAAATTAAAAACCTCGATAGGTGTCCTATGAATCGATGTGTAGATTACTCGAGTAGTCTGTTAAAGCCCTAGTGTGGAGCAGAGCGTCTTGTTTCCATAACATCCAGGAGAAATTGAGATAGTCGGCCGTCGAAGGCCAGAGCCAGATTCAGATCTCAACATTTGTTTTGGGCCAGGCCGAGCTCTGTTAATTTCTATCTGCCTTTATAGTCTTGCCAGTACATGTCATCTCATGGCGACTGCAAACAGCCAAAATTGTGATTACATACACCAAGTCAAGCTTGCAACTTCACCGAGATCTATTCCTTCCCACCGTCTGTGAACACTGCCAGAAAGTTCCATAGTCCTGAAAAAAGATGGCACGTCTATCAGCCGGCTCATCTCTGACACAGGTCCACAGATAGTTCACACAGCATAGTCTGAGTGTTGACAAGCACGGCACATTCTTCATAATTTGTCGATAATCCCGGTGACCACCAGCTCCAAAAGGCAGAAATCATAAATCCAATTATGTACATTCCCCAGGAATAGTGTTCCATATAAATGTCATATTTTAAATGTACCTTAAATGTACCTGTAAAGTTCCTTGCTACTTCGCTGTTAGTTTTGTGCGGATTCGCTATATCGCGTTTTTTTATTTTAAATGCTTTTGCACCATGTGTGCAGCCCACAAGTGCAGGGGAAGCTCCTTCCTGCAGCTGATCAGCTGATCTCATTCTCTGCATGCACACATTTCTCCTGCAGCAACTTTGTGAAGGATTAGCCCTTTGCTGTCCAGATGCACTGATCGACTTTTATCTTCCAACTTAAAATTCTAAGTATGTCACAATGTAAAATCATCATAATCACAAAATATAAAAGTGTTAAAAGTTATTTTTAATTATTTTAGAACTTCATGTTCAGTTGTTTCAGTGCAATTAATCAAGAAGTACATTTCTGCTCCGTGCTGCAGATCTGTGTGAAGGGCCCTTAGATGTCCTGCTGCACTTCTCTTCTCTACAATATAAATTTAAATATTGTAACATTTTAAATAAACAATCCATGCTGCATGGATTGTTTATTTAAAATGTTACAGTATTTAAATTTAAATTGTTTAATTAAGGAGGGATTGGGAGTAACAGGAGATGAGTGTGATTATAGTCTGGCACATGTCATAACGAAGTTTACTGAACTTGAAGTGAACTTGTTTTTCACTTATCGCAGGTGGGCATGGTCCCAAACATTTGCGATAAAAACGAGGGACTACTGTACAACCAGACACCAACAATCTGGCTTACAGTCTAAAAAACACAAAGAGAAGTTTCATTCTGAGTGTACACAAAAATCCAAAAACATAAATGATCATTTTTTTTGGTGTAAATTCTCAGTCATCCAGGACATGGTGAATCATGGGTTTTAAATAAAGCATTCTTCATTTGTGATGTTCACATGTCACATTCATTTTTATATGGGAGAATAGTTAGTTTGAAATAGAAGTGCTGACACTGTGTGTTGATGCTGATTGCAGATTCTGGGTTGGTTGCTCATCACCTCCATCATGTTGTCCAGCCTCCTGCTCATCTGTCTCGCTCGCTGCACTTCCCCCATCAACTATCAGCAACTGAAGTTCTGGAGAGCATATGCTCAGGAGGAGAGTGACTTGATGGATTCGTACACCAATAAACACGCCAAAAATCTTGCTGAGAGGAACCTGAAGAGCTTTTTTAACAAGACAGCACCTGAAAACATTGTTACTCCATCCAATAAGGACTGGGAGAAGATCTCTTCTCTCTATAAGTTCAGCACCAAAGACCACTACTACAGCACCTTACACCGTTATGTAGAGACCAACTCAGAGAGTGATATTCAAATGAACATGATGTCTGTCAGGTCAAATGAGTCGATTGACAACCCTGCTATACTTCACTTTGTGGATGGTGGAATGGTGTCAATCTGAGGAGGATCTTCAGCTCCAAACATCATGTAGGTAAAATCATGGCTTTAAGTCAAGGAAACACACCACAAAACTGATTCTTCCCCCAACAGCTTATGACTGATGAAGGCTTCTGGATCGAAGGTGAAACCAGAGCCCTATAAAGAGAGAGTTGCGACACTCTTTGAACTCGCCGATACACGGTCACGTGGTTCATG